GTAATCATTTTCTTCCTATGATGATTGAGCTCCCATCTCTCATTTGAACTATCTTTATGAAAAATTGTTAATTATTTCATTTTGCAAAGTGTTGTAACCAAAATATTTGAATCTGATTTAAATTTTTTCAATCTGACTTCTTCTAAACTCACTAGATTTTATCTCACCTAACTGGACCCTTGAACATTGCTTACCTGGTCTGCTTCATGCCTGCTGGTCCTCTGCCTTTGGAAAGGGTAATTGTCAGAAGTAAATTTCTGAGTGGATAGAGGAATAGGAATAATAGAGAGGTAAGGGAACATATCTGAACTGTACTGTGCCATATTCTGTACTCTTTACTCTGAGGTATGCAGCTGTTTCTGGGTCCTTCCTGTCCTAGCCAGTCAGGTTTGCATGGCTGACTTTGAACGTAAATATGCCTAGAAACAGTAGCACACTGACTCAGTAAGAGATGTGGCCTAAGATATAGTTCTGCTAACTTTCTCTTATTAAAGTTAGCTTTTAATCCCAGAAGAGCCAATAGAAGAAGCATGTTGTTAACTGACTTGCTTTTAAAACTTGTCCCTGCATAGCTTCTGCCAGCTGACCTTCCTATACTCAGGTGAACATCATCAAATATACCAGTCCTTAGAACTTAACACTGGTTAGCTAACAGGGATGAAAGAGAGAAGTCCCACATCTCTTCTCCCCTCCCCACCAGTGCCCTACCATCATACTCAAATTTCCTTGAGTTTTTGAAGTGCCAAGAGTTGGAAAGCCTAAGGTTCTGGATCCCAAACCCTAGCCAGATAGATTCAGGAGTCTCTTGTGTATGATTGGGACCTGGCCTTTCTTAGGACAGTTGGAAGTTGGATAATGTCAAAGCTTGGTATCCTGGTGTTCAGGGAACATATTCACCCTAGTTTCTCTAAGGGCCAAATGCTGGGAATCTTCTGTGGATGAAATCTCTCCTCTTACAGATATCCATGTTACTGGAGTCAGAAGTAGTTTGCTTTTCTTTTCTCAGAGTGCTAGTATTTCTCACTCCCTTAAAAGACTTAATTTGACTGACCTGTTGCAAACTCTTCTTTGGCAACCATTTCCTCATTGTCCAATGCCTAGTGCTACTGCTTTGTGAAAACCTTTCTGAATAGACCCAGACAAGAAATTTTGATGAATCATGATTGATATATTTTATCCTGAAATAAATCAGTAAATAAATGTATTCTTTCTCAGGTAAGCTACTAGTATAGTATTCACTTACCATTACCTCCCTTCCCATGAAGTGAAAGTGGCTGTCATCTGCTTCACTGCATCTGACTGTATCTGGAGTGTGGGATCCTGTTAGACATTATTCCCTACTAGTCACAGCTCCTTTGTGTAATACTGAGCTATTTTTTTTTTCCTTTCCCTTTGCCAATCCACCAATTTGATAGGAACATACTTAGGTAAGTAACTTGTAATGTTATCATGTTTGTTTTGTATTCACCCTTTTTCCATTAAGTTGCCCAAAGGGCCAGTCCAGACCCTTCCAAAGATCCCTTACTAAGTATCTAGTCTAAAGTGACTCTGATAAACATTGGACCCTAACCTTTTCCAGGAGAGGACCTATTCTTCATTTCCCAAAGTCTCAGTGTAGTTAGACACCATATTTAGAGTTCTAGGTTCAAATCCTACACTGTCACCTATTACTTTAAACAACATGCTTTACTCTTCTGGGCTTCAGTTTCCTTATTTATAAAATTAGATGTTTCTACTAAATGATCCCTTCCAACTTTAAGTCATATGATCCTATAAGATTTGTGGAGGAAAACAGAATACAGCAATTCACTAAGGGGCATAGGATGCTTGAAGGGCTGGTGATACTCAGTACCTGCAAGCCATAGAATGAGGCACAGTATGTCTGACCCTTGTGATCATCCAGTTTAGGTTTCAAAACCTGCTGGTTCATTATAATCTATCTTTGGGTAAGTGAGGCTCAGGAGGAAAAACTGTAACATCAGCAGATTCCTATGTTCTTTTCCAGCAGTGGGATCAGTGCTGATGGAAGCCATAGGGATTGTGTGTGGTATTCATTGAGTGTCGTGTCTTACTTTGAAGTCTTCACTTTTTCTTTATTTAATTCTTCAGTGACCCATGATTTTTTTTTAGGTAAAATAAGAATAGATTGTTTTTAAAAGAGAGATTAGAGAGGCCATGTTGCATAATAAATAGAGACTTGGAGTAAAGAAAACTCAGATTCTTTGGCTTCCTTCTAAGACTTTGAGTTGCAGAGCAGGTGCCAACCTACATCAATACAAGGTAGTTCTTCATTGGAAATTCCTCTAAACCAGTGAAATCATAGATCTAGGGTAGTTTTTTTGTGTTTGTTTTTTTTTTAAACAAGCAGAACAAAGAAAAACGATTTTTCAAAGAGCATTGGTTCTAAAATCAAAACATTTCCTGTATAGAAGGGTAGAGTTATGAAAACCCCCAAAAGAGATTATACTGTTATTTCACCCACTTATCCCCTTGTTAGTTCCTCAGAGTTCCTTACACTGTAAAATGTAGTCACTGGATGCCATGTGTATTCCTCGACATGCAACTATGGTTACCTGATCAGATAATGATGAAAGACAGGTTCCAATATTGCAGTGACCTGTGACCTTTTCCCAGTGTTGTTAAAGGGAGTAGCTTCCAGGAAAAGGAAACAAGCAACCTGAAGTAATTTATTTAGATTTTTCTAAAAAAGAGGAATATATTAGACAGTTCTGATCATTGGACTCATCACCAAGGACATGTAGTTATTTCTCATTCATTTTTCCCCTTTTTCCTGTTTAATAGCCCTAAATTGTTATAAATGGAACTCGTATTATTATGGGCAGAAGACTCTTTGGAGACTGTCTGGAACAGGACATAAAGATACTTAGAATTTTAGATTATTTCTTAGTTCAGTACACAGGTGTGTGTGTGTGTGGTTTTTTTTTTTTGTTTTTTTTTTACTCTTTCATAACTTACCAGTGGCATTTGTCTTGGGAGATTGAGCCCTAAGGTAGGTCATCCTTAGTGTGATAGTGTGAAGATGGTGGGGTGGGACTGTTGAGTAAAGGAAACTAAGACTTGGTTTGGGGGAGTAGATTACTAACATTCATTGTGTAGATCAGCACACATGTGGGTATTGGTTGTAAACTTATATTGGGGACAGAAGATATAGGGCCTGGAGGAAAAAGTGACCATATGGCACTAAGGAATAGGGTTCTAAATTGTCAATAGTGGGAACAACAGAGCAGAGTTTGAACTTAGCCTAATGATAGGAAGTTCTCTTATTTGTTGTCATGAGATTTAAGCTGTTGACCTACAAGTGAGGTTCTCTAAGAAGTAGGTAGAATTGGCCAACCAGCCATCCAAAGATGAATGTGGAAAGCTCAGGGGTGGGGTGGGGTAGGTGAGGATGACTATAGGGAAATTTTTAAGTCAAGCAACTTATACAGAACATAAATAACATTAACTCTGAAGATTGTGTGTGTGTGTGTGTGTGTGTAGCAGGAGATTGCTAGAATTTCTTATCAAATAAATTCAGGATTAATGAGGATTCTATGTAGTAAGGCTTCTGGACTTCCTAGAAAATAGATTTCCAATGCTTAGGTTAGTCTATCAAGGGTGGGGAACCTGCGACCTCAAGGCCACATCTGGTCCTTGGGTGCAGCCTTTTGACTGAGTCCAAGTTTTACAGAACAAATCCTTTTATTAAGGGGATTTGTTCTGTGATAAATAGATAGCAATTACATATTATTTGGATAATTTCTTCCTGCTTCTTGATGCCCCACTATTCTTCCATATAGACAGCCTGGAGAATATTGTCATTATTTCCTTAGGCACTCTTGCTTTCTGTCATCAGATGGAGCTGAAAGGATCTAGATATCCTCTGGACCAAGCAGGAGCCATGAATCAAGGAAACAACTGCTTTTTGTTTAGTCTTGGCTTCCAAGACCATACTTATGCCTATATAATTCTGGGAAGTGGGGGAGAAGGGGGTTAGTATTCTGAGCCAGAGCTGTGGGTAATAGCTTACCCTGGTTTCCACTCATTTCCCCTCTCCTTTTATGGCAAAGGAAGAAAGGTGTATGATTGAAAAGGGCCTGTTGGACAGCCCTGGGCTCACTCCTGACTAGAGGGCCTGCCTTTAGTCACAAATAAAGGAGTTAGAAGTATCCCATAGAAGATGTGTGGCTGGTACTTGTTGAATATCAAGGTGAACATGGCAAAAAATGTGTGTAAAGTTCAGAATTCCTCAAATATGAACTGAGATGCAGTTTAAGAACTTTACATTTCAAAAGATGATTAGTAAAGCTTTATTAAGGGCTAGTTTGCCTGGGCTTTAGGGAAGTGTCTCAGTCATCTCTGTGTAGGCCAGTCCTCAAGAACTTATCTGCTCATTTTCTATTTCTTTGCTTATGGTTGCTTTGTTACTCTGTAAACCCCTCACTGTGCTCTGTAAAGTCCACCCTGGAAAGGAAGGAATTGATAGGACAGAAAGACAGCTATTGATTCTAGGAAGCAAAGAAATGTGATTGTCAGACCTTATTTTCTGAGTGAGCCAAGAGTCAGGCCCTGGAGTAACTAACTCCCTTATCTAACAGTGGAGAGAAGTTTTGAGAGTGTGGCTTGATCAAAAGGTCATTTTGCTTCTAAATGGATAGCATTGCTGCTTCCAATTCAGCTTATCTCAAATATGCAGGGATTTGGCAATAGCTTTGAAGTAGTTTTCTTTTTTCCTTAGGTATGTTACCTGTACATCCTCTAGACCCAGAATGTATGCCTCAGAGGCAGTGATTTTTCCCTCCGTAAACCTGGGCTCTCCAGCATATAGTAAAGTTGACTTCCTTAATTCATAGTACCCCATGGAAGGGGTTTGCTAGTCAAAAATACCAGTTTAGAAGGAAGCACAAATTTAAAACATTGTTTTTTTTTTATTTTGTATGATTTCTGTCATGGAAGAAGTTTGGTGTCTTACAAGCTCTATTCTCTTTCCTGTTTGTTAGGACTGGCTAACCATGGACCAACCAGACAAATGGTAAGAGAGAGAAAACTCTGCTTGTGTCTAGATAGAGCTTCTCTGAAAGCTTTCTTATCACACTTACCTCCTTATTGTCTCCTTTCAGAGAGGCATGGGGAACTTTACTGTTTATCTGCCTGGCAGATAGAGCTATAACTCTCCAGAGTTTATTCAAGGCATTCTGCTTTGACTTATGTTTCCTTGGAGAGCAAGAGGATGATAAGACAAGTAGCTATTAATAGTGAGCCTGTGGAGAATGTGAGGAAGAATTCAGAGAGGGCTAGGATACAAAGTAGGCTTGAAGCTAATTGATGTAGGAAAGTATCTGCTGAGAATAGATCTTCCTTGAACAAAAGTATGAGCAAAGGACAGAATTAAATAGCCAATCTGAGGCATTGTGAAATAGTACCAGGGATGCTGGTCTGGCCTTGGCTCTGCCTGTTAACACTGTGTTTTGGTACTTGCCTGTGGAGTCATGAGGCTGGAAATTAGTTTCCCAGACCTCAGCTACTCAAGTCATGATCTGATTTTCCGTGATCTGTGACTGACAGCTTAGAGTGATCATCTAGTTGACTACCATCTCTCCCTACCTCTTCCTATTGTGTGTATCATTCACAGTCCAACAGAGCCACATGAGCTAGATGCCCGGCATTGATAAGGTGTTAGACCTGAAACCATTGTGGAATTTCAGTGGGATGCTGTGAAGGCTTCATTACAGACCATTTTGCCACCTCTGCTTCTAGGAGAGACTGGCTACTTTTTTGTATCTGGTGACTAAAGCACACAAGTCTTTTGGGTAAAAGGGAGCCACACCCTAATTCTTGGCTGGGGTTAGAAATAGCTTTCCTGCTTCTTTGGTTTAGGGAACATTCTTGAGATGCCAACCAGAACCCAGTGTAGGGCATGCCATGGGAAAAGCAAACATGGGTGGATCAAGCCATATAGGACAGGGCAAGGCTGACCACCCAACCCAGAGTATTCCTTAGGAATATAATCAGGAATCAGGGACAATAAAAGCTGTCTCTTCCTGATACAGCCTAAAATGTTTCTTCTCAATTGTCAGTATTTTAAAGCCTGTTTCCCAGTTCAGTATTGTTCTCTAAGATTCTGAAAATCTGTGGCATTGCCAGAGTTGGGGAAAGAAGTGCTTTTATTTACTTGATTAAAATGAAAACAACTAAGTTGAGCTGCTGAGATAAAAAGCATTCTCTTTTGATTGCTTGTATTAAAAAAAAAATCTCATTGGATCTCCTTGGAGAATCAGAATTTGGTAAATATTTGTTAAGAAGAATGTCCTGAAAAGTGTAGTATAGTTTAGAGTTGCCAGCAAATTCATATAATGCATAGTAAGATGCTATGAGGCAGCAGAATTTAGAGTCTGTGCTTTGGAAATACATCTGTCTTCAGTGTACATTCCCTCCCTCAGTGATTGCACTGTAGTGAGAGAAATATCACTTCCCGAAGCATTCCAATCCTCCCTGAAATTGTAAGGATCAGTATCAGATTTCCCTTGGTCAGGCGTGACTAGGAGATCTTGAAGAATTATGAGTTGTGCTGAGATACTGGAAACTACATAAAATCTTTCTTTCATATGTGAATGAAGAAGGGAAGCTTTTCGCACAAGGATGGGGTGAAGAAGTGAGACTTATGAATGCTTTGTTTCCTCTCTCAACTTCTGAGGTGATGTGTTCCTACTCTGGCCTCAACCTCTGAAGTCAGTCTTGTTTGTTTAAGGTACTTTATTTAGCCATATGATAAAATTGTGTCAAGAATAGTCATTCCTTTTCTCCTTCCTTATCTATGTCATCTGCAAGTGTGGACTGGCCATTGGCCATGTAGTTATTACCTCTTATGTATTATGTTAGGGACCAAGCCGAAACTTGCTGCTCAATGGGAAATCCTATCCAACAAAAGTCAGATTAATTCGTGGTGGATCCCTGCCTCCAGTGAAAAGGAGGAGGATGAACTGGATTGATGCTCCAGATGATGTGTTTTACATGGCCACAGAGGAAACCAGGTAGGACAGGGGCTTCCTTCAGGTCCAAATGGGGCCCTCCATTCCCATTATTTAGAATTCATGAATGGAGTGGGTGACCTATTAATTTATATCATCACTGAAAGTAGTACTTGTGGGGAGAAATGGACCTTTCTGTGTTTCTGCTGAATGAAGTCCTTAGATACAAAGGACTCCAGTTTACATCCCAAAGAAAAACCCTGTCCAACCCTTCTTCCTTTTTTCCATTCCCCTCCTTCCCCCTCACCTTGGGCCCTGAGAAGTAGGAGTATGTGTGTGCCCTATATACTAGAGAAGTAAATAAAAAAGCTAAAAATAAGTATCTGAACCAACCAGTGGATTTGGCCTCCAAGACTCTGAAAAGGTTTTGAGACCAGCATTTTCTAACCAGCTACTGGTCCATCTGAAACAGATAAGTTTGACCACCAAAGATTCTTTCTTCAGAGAGGCAGCAATGTATAGTGGAAGGAACATTAGTTTTTAGAGTTAGAAGTGTGTTTGTTCAAATCTCGGCTCTCACGCATACTGTTACCTTTTACCTTTCTGAATTCTCAGTGCCTCATCTATACTGATAGTATCACTCTCTTTGTCATAGAGTTGTGAAGAAAACTTGTAAAGTCTTGAAGCATTATACAAATGGGAGCTGCAGTCATTATTTTTTAAAGCTACTGTCTTTAAAAGACTGACTTGTTTCTCTTCTTCCCTCCATTCTATTCTTCCTATTCCCTAAACTCCTTCTTTCCCCTTCAGGTCCAAGTCTTTATCTTTTGAGCTGGGGCACTGAGGCAGAGAGAGTTGAACACTGTGGTAGAAAATTGAAAAGTTTTATAGGTTCAAAGTATAGTTTGAATCAGGAAGGGCTAGAGTAGATTAAGGATCTCTCTTGAAAACCAGCCTTTCTTTTGTGGGAGGATATTGTTAATAAATATTGTGGCTATTTGTTGTTCTGCATTTGTAGGAAAATCCGAAAGTTGCTTTCATCTTCTGAAACAAAGCGAGCTGCCCGTCGCCCTTACAAGCCCATCATCCTTCGACCAAGCCAGTCCTTACAACTCAGGCAGCAGCCTCTGCCAGTGAATGAGGAGCCCATCATCATTGAGGACTAGCAACCCTTGGGTCCTTCAGACCAGCTTCCTACCCTGACTGACCCTCTGGAACTCTTCTGGATTTGTCCAAAAGACATTTTTTCCACTGCCTTGCTGAGGCACTGAAGAGGGGAGAATTTGCAAAGCACTGATTTGCATATTGTAACCCCCTTAAGGAACTTGATTACTTCTGTGACCATAAACTGCTTTTGCCTGTGCACTCTCATTCTTTATCTCTTCTACCCCTCTCTCCTCTCCTCCACTCTCCTATACCTGTCTTCCTTTTACCTTTCTGCCCTCTTTCCCTCCCTTCTTTCCTTTCTCTCACTTTCTTCTTCCTCTTTTCCTCTTTCCTCTCATTCCTCCCCTTTTTCCTCTTCCTTTTAGCTTGTGTACTCTTCTCTTCCTCCCTTATTCTTCCCCCCACTTCTATTTTTATTTTTGGGTAGCCTCCCCTTCCTGCCTTTTCCTACCACTGGCAGAGGACCCTGTTCCTTGTGTGGACACATTGGAGAAGAATTGAAGTTTTAACTTATTCAGAAAATGCAGAACAGTCATGTTTAGATTTTTGTTTACTTTTTGGGTGGAGTGAAGACTTGGAATCTTCTTTTGTGTCTCTCTTGGAGCTAGCACTGTTGGGCCTCTGTTTCCATGAGGCTGTGTTGTAAGATTTTGTTCTATTCTGTTGAAGGTGCCATTTTGTTTTATTTTTATTACCTTTTTTGTAGATGAACTTGAGACCTGTAACTCTTATATTTGGAATATTAGAATCAGAAAAGCCAGCAACAAGTTCAGCTAGTTGTCTTGGGTCTGTCCCTTGTCTTTACAATAATTTTTATATTCAAAACAGAACAAAAAAAAAATCCAAACCCTTTTTCATCTCTTTAACACCAAAACTATCCCCTCTCCTTGGCCCCCAGAACACCTGTTGCAAACCCAAGAATCTTGGCAATAGCACATATTCTTGGCCTCTGTGGGTTCATAGTGGAGAATGTTGAGAAGCAATGCTCAGTTGTTTACTTCTCTTACAGAAAGGTCCAGGAGGCTAGGCCCTAGGTCTCTGACTTAGTGCCAGGAGTAACTAATATTGTCTCTTGCCTCTAATCACCACTGAGATGTCCTAGCACAAGCCAAGGGCAGTGGAGCAGCAGCAAAGATCAGATTACTTAGCCCCATTTCCCTAGCTCCCTTTTGCCACCACTACCACCCAAGCCCAAACTTTACAGGACTTTGGACTTGACTCGGCATCAGTATTTTTAATGCAATGTCCTTAGGTTAGAGGACCCTGGCTTGTTAAGCTACATTACTGAACAGTTTCCATTTTGAAGGGAATTTAACATTCAATTGGATTTTAATTTGAACACAGCTTGTCTCCCAAAGTCGTGTCTTTTCACCAGAACCTGTTTGTGTTTCAGATTTTCATATCTTCTGGCCTTGTTCTGTATTTGAAGGCCTGCCTGGTTTTTCTCTTATGTCTCCTCCATGTGGGGTATTTCTGAACAAAAGAAATCTCTACTGTGTTTGAACAGATGTAAACTCTCATTTGCAGCGTGTGTTGACTTGTACATGCCCCTGCCTCTGACAGACAACGCATGGAATAAAACCCTTAATCATTCCTGCTTACTGTGTGGCCATGTGACAGGCCAGGGGACCGCTGTGTTTTGAACCCACTCCAGGTGATAAGGTTTGTTGTCCGCTGGCTGCGTCAGGCACGTGGAAACCCTGCGGCAAAAGACAAGACATTTCCGTTCCCTTCCTTACAGTGCAAATAAATCCACTAATGGAGCTTTTGTGAAACACTTGTTGTCTCTGTTTGACAATATTAAGGTACAGAGAGAAGGAAGAAAGGAAGTAAATTTCTTGTTTTCCCTATGTTAGTGGGTATGGGGAGGTCAGGGAGTGGGGTGCGAGGGTCTGACTCAGTCAGCATATTTGTAGTCCAAATTTTGTTAAAGTTCCACGGTCTTTATCAGTATCACGCCCATGATAGTATAAACTTGGAGACATTGTCCAAATAATTTGACATAACAAGAGAGGGATAAGTGACTGATCTCATGGGAACAAAGGAATGGTACATAGCCATTTCCAGGGTGGAAATGGTGTGTAGTAAATGAAGGCAGCATGAAGATTGGTTCTAGAGTCAGAGAACCTGGGTACAGGTCCCCAGCTCTGCCACTTTTGTGCTGTGAGGCCTTGAACAAGTAATTTAACCTCATGCTGGTGAATGATGATATCTTTGTCACAGGATGGTTATGAGAAAAATAACTTGTAAACTTTATAGTGCTATATGAATTGTTATTAACTTGGCAAACAAAAGAAAAGGAAGGAAGGAAAACAATTTGGAATCAGAATTTGGAATTCCTAGCTAAAAAGAAAGAAAAAGGAATGTACTGACTCTCCTCCCTTCCCATCTCCCCCCAACCCAGAACTGACAGGAGGTCAGGTGCTACAAGCAAGCTTGTTTGGTTAGATCATATCATTGATAATGCAGGAGTTAAAGATTCAGGCTCTATCCCAAGAATTAGCATTTTATAAGATAAAGTTCTGTTTCTCAGCCCTATCCAGCTTGCCTCATCTCCATATGTACTACCAGACACATCTAGGAGCACACAACACAGCCTCCAAAGGACAGAAATAGATGATGAGGAAAGGAAGAAGGAAATTGCCCATATAGAGAAGTTAGAAATAGGGGTGTCTTCCAAAATTCACATATGATGTGATAACAGTAAAAATGTATTTGGAAAGAGAAGGGCATGGATTATATGACTTCTAGAACCTTAGAGCTAGAAGAGAGCTCGTTACCTAGTCCAGCTTATTAATTCAATTCAACAAATAGTTCTTAGATTCCTAATTATAAGGTACTGCATTAAAGGATTCTACCTAGTGCTGGAATCAGTTCTCTTTGTATCTTCCCTGATAGGTTATTATCTGAATGCATCTAGGGACCATTCATCTTCTAGCTCCAGGGGGGTAACTGGGGAGGCTTTATAGAGTGGGGTGTGCCTCCTGAGTGGAGAATGGGTTGGAGGAAAATAAAGAAAAGCAAGAAACTTGGTGTGGTAATCCTTTGTTATGACAGTGACAGTCTATCCTTGCGTCTTTAGTGAGGGATGCACACCATCTCCTCATGTAATCAATATACAGGTACTTCCAGTGATTCTCCATTTCTGTCCCTGCCTGCCTTGTGAGAGAGGCCCATAAGGAAACCAAGTAGCCTTTCTCTAAAGTGGATCCATTAACACAACTCTTTGAGACTATATTGGTGGCTTTCTTCCCATCCTTTGTACTCATCTCTGCCTGCCAAGATTCCATCAGCTATTACAGTGGACCATTAGATTCAGACCCCTTGCCAGACTAGATGTATAGTAGATCCATACTGGCTAGCCCTAATTATATTGCAGCCCTGGCATCATGTGGCTTCCATGAATATAGATAGGCCCTAGCTACTCAAACTTGGAAAGGCTTTAAGTGGAAAGGCTTTGCCCGGCAGCCATTAGGTGGCACCAACTTCACCTTTGACAAGTTAGAGCAAGTCCAGAGGCCTGGTATCATCAGACTATATGAGGCTATGAAGACATAGAGAATGTTCAACCTAGAGAAGACTTGGGGGTAACATGATCGCTATCTTTCCAATATCGTAGGGCTGTTATACAGAAGGGGAGTCATTTGGGGGAGAGAACAGTTAGTTGCAGAGAGTAAAATTCTGAATGGCTATCAAAATGGAATGGACTTCTTCATGAAATATTAAGTTCCTCAATTTTGGAGATATTTGGTTGGCAGCTTTGAGTGGAAGCCTTCTGTAGTGTATTGGACTTATTGTAGGAGACCCAGAGTCTAGTTGAGGATGTGACTAAATGTGTGATTTGGGGTAAATCCCTTCTCTCTGAGCCTGTCCATACCTGTCACAAAGGTGGTTGAAGAGTAAGTACCTTCTGTTTCTGAGAAAGCAGCTCTGAAAACCCAGGGCAAGCCAGGAAAGATGCACACCATGCGTGCGTGTGAAACACAAAAGCAGTTGAGTAAGGCTGAGGACCTGCTAGTTGGCCTTTAAACATGAATATAAAGTCCAATCCTAGTGGACCCTAGTAGTTTCCCTGAGTGGGGGGACCCACAGCAGGTCCTGCCAGGAATAGAAAAAAGTGGCTCTATGTTCAGAACTCAGAACTCAGCTCCAGCAGATGGCCAAGCAATGCTAAACTCAGGAAAGATTGAGAAAAAATCACCAACCCTGGTGATACAAAGGATGGTTTAGATATGAACTAAAATGGCCTGGGCATACCCTGGATTTCCTAAAGGTTTCTAGATTAAGATCACAGATAATAGAAGTTTACAGAAAAGGCTAAGTGCTTCCTTATTCTCACTCCCTTTCTCTCTTTCCCTCTCCTTCAACTCTCTCAAAGACTCCAAACTCCCCATTAAAAAACAAGTCCTGATCCCCAAAGGACCGCCATAGTCTCCTGGGTAGGGGAAACTGGTGCCCTCCTTTGTGTCATGGACTGCCTGGGCTAAAAGACATCATTGTCTGCCCTGTTCTAGAAAGGCTGTTGTGACCTCAGGGGCATGAGTTAAGGTTCAGAAATTAGTGAAATCGAGAAATTAGTAATTAGGGCAAAAGGCAAAGGTCAGTTTTGAGAAGGAGTTGATGCTCAAGGAAGTTGATATGGTTAATTGAGGCCCAGGACTGCTGGATCCTGTCATAATTGAAAGAACTCAGCCTCAGAGTCAGGAGATTGGGTTGTATGAAGTCTCAATTCTAACATTTCATTGTGCAACTGGGCAGGTCACTTCACCCCTTAAGGCTTAGTTCCCCACCTATAAAATCAGGATAACAGTACTTGTTCTACATATTGCTCTGGGCTATTGTGAACAAAATGCTTTGTAAATCATAAAGTGCTATAATAGTAATAGTTTTTAATTACACACTGAGTTTGTATTCCCAAGTAGTAATTGTAATCACTTGAGAGGAGGTCAAGAGCCCTGTCCTGCTTTAGACCTTTGAAAATGAAAGACCTTAAACCTCCAGTGGATTTGGTAAGATCTTGGCCAGGATCGTGTGAAAGTAGGGAGCACTCCTCTTGAAGGGCCCACTCCCTAAAACCTGTCTGTGTTCCTATTTTCTTTTGGTGCTATGCCATGGGGTTGGTATGGAACTGAAATATTTATCTCCAAATCCAGGAAGATTCTAGTTCTTCCTGCTAGTTCAAGAACTTTGGTCAAGAAACACAGAGAGGAGGAGGAGGAATTATGTTCCCTTTATTGTTCAGTGGTTACTAATTTGCTATGATGGAGTCCCCTGCAT